GGGGTATAGTGCTGCAAGGGCAGCTTTTGTATATAGTCTCTGTGTATAGCTTCTTGCTGTACATGATGCTTTTTATAATACTAATATACATTGCTTTCTCTCAAAAATCTCCGTACTAATGTTCATATCTACATCTTATTCCAGTCTCCTTGCCCAAGCGTTGATAAAAAACAAGGGCACTTTTGAAAATTCAAAAATTATTTTGGCTACCATGGAACCCCCAATACTTTATTTCCCAGAAGATAATGGAAATTCCTCATTAATGAAAGAACATCTAGACAAGTATAAAGTGAGGCCACCATAATGGGTGATGGATTCCACTACAAGGATACATAGAATACCAAAAAAAAAAAACCCAAAAAAGTACAAATAAATAAATACCTTCACATGCCGAAACATTGAAAATCTGCCAGACACATCCCTAAGATGACAGTACCAATTATATGCAAGATATCACTTAGTGGTAATACCACGTGAAGATTTTAGTCCTTGATTAGTGAAGGGGAGGATTTTCCAACAATATAACATGTAAAGTTTTTTTTTGTAATAAAATAAAATTTATTAAAAGAAAAAATAAAATACAAGGAGAGTGACTAGGAAACAAACTTCAACTCCCAACAAGACCTCCACACCAAAGAAACTCCACCAGGACAATAAATACAAAACCCAAAAACCCAACTATCCAACTAATACAACCTCACCACAACACCCACAACCCACAATCAACCCAAACCAACAATCAAAAAAAAAAAAAAAAAAACTCAAGCTATCACAATTCAGACCGTACATACTCAAAAACCAGCTACTTCTTTGAGGCTTTCTTAAGCTTCATCATCGTCTTGGTTGGTCCTAACCCAAAGCCCCCCTTTTAATCTAGCAAAGACATTTGAAACCAAGATATCTTAGTGCTTTCTCTGTTTTCTAAATCTTCTAAATTGCTAGAGAATCCTTCCTAAGCTCCAACATGTAAAGGTTTTTCACACAGCATTTACCTATAATATCATAATAATCATTGCCCAATATTAGCGCATACTGCACCACATACACTGCAATCTATCCTTTTTCTTTTTCCTTTTTGGAGGAGCCACTAATGGCTATTGACTTTTATTTTTTCCTAGTTAATAATATGGGTAGATGGAAAATTTTCTCAATTTTGGGGTGCCCTTGAGCACCCTTTTGGCTTCACCTGAGAATATATACCTAATGTGTGCCCAAATATCACAAGAAAAGCTATTAGGATTTCTTAAGATAATTAAAAACCTACTGACCTGCAATCACATCAGCAGATATTCCTTTTAACTTGTTAGGTTACTTCTTTTAACAGTAACTCTATGTTTTTTTTTTTATCAGTAACTCTATCTGAATTTCACTAGTATAACTAACTGCTGCAGCAGTAAACCAAGTGGTAACAGGATAAAAATATAGACTAGAAGTGAATTCTGAGTATTAGCTAGTTCTCTTGACTGTGACTTCCAAACCAATATATTATACATATTTTTATTAATAGACTTCGCAAATTGTTTCAGACTTTGTAAAATCATTCTACTTTTAGACACTAGAAATGTTTCCTTTCATTTTCATAAATGCCAAACTATTGCATAGGACCTTCCTAATTTGTTTATGATCTGGCTAATAAGTGCATTGGATCAGTCCAAATACCAAACCATCCCAACACCCCAAATTAGTTTGCACCCTCAATCTACGTTGATAAAATCTAAAACTTTGATTATTCCATTCACTTGGATTCAATCAAAACAAATCAAAATTTTGTCATAATAAATCTCGAAAAATATTCAGTTTTACATGCAGTATAGCTTATCAAAATTCAAAACCAAAATATTCCAGGATTTCATGAATTTTCAAACCATGCTTTCTATTAATAATATGATAGAATACCTAAGATGTTTGTTGAACTTTAAAACCATGCCTTTCAATTAACTTGGTGCTGAACTTCGGTTTGCTGAACACAGGCTAATCCCTGAGAAAACTTCTAACCAGTTGGCAAATTGGTATTCAGCATTTATAACAGAAAAGAAAATAAAAACATATGAAAAGAGGTGCCTGTTTCCAGTGGTGAGATTTGTGTTCTTATAGTTTCTCACTGGTCACAGGCATTGAACTCAAAAGACAACCACAGCTGGGGTACAGTGAACTCAGATGCAACATGCAAGCCTCTAAAGGAAGCAAGTGAGAAACTTTGAGTTAGTGAAAGCAAAATACAAGGGTTCTGCACTTTTGGTTGGGAGAATGAAATTCTAGATTATTTGCAATTACTATTTTACCCCTATCCTTATTTGTAGTTACTATTCATTTAGCTGTATAACTAGGATAAGGCTTAGATGGATGATGACATCTCATTTAGTAACTGATCAATAAATTTTTTGAATTTTACAATGGTGTCAGAGCAATTTATTTTATCCTTCATTTATTTATTTTTTTGGGGGTGAGGGGTCAATGTTGTTAGAGTCAATTAGACTAGATGGTTGAATCATTTGGATTGAACAATTGAATATGGTCCAGCCAGACTAGACATTGCTAATTTGGATGGTCCATTTTAGAGTGAAAAGACTTCCTGAGACCGTGTTATATGCAACTCCCACTGAAATGCAAACACAACGGTGCTTGAAATAAAAAATTAGTTGATATAGTGCCTTGAAATTAGTGCAAGCACTGGCATGTTCATGTTTCACTGAGGGGTCTCAGGATTGTACTGCAACCAGTCACAGGAAATGCAAGCTCCCTTTTAGACACCAATTTGGACTAGGAAATTGACATAAAACAACTCTTAATTGCTTTAGAACTAAGACAAATCAATGGATGACCCATAAAGACACTCCAATGAGGACTCTAATTACTAATAACAACTCTAATAACACTTTCCTAATCTTACAAATAACTCAACTTAAAGACGCCAGAAATTACTAAAAATAGTGATCTATAAGTTTACTGAAAATAGTAACTATGAGAAATACTATAAATACCAAGTCCAAGAATTACGATAAATAGTAATTTCGCAAATTCTGAAAAACAGTTCTTAAGATACCAACAACTTGGTCGCCCCCGTTATCTATGGCTGTTAAGTTGAACTTTGATGGCAGTTCTGTAGGTAATCCAGGCCCCTCTGGAATTGGGGGTGTCTTTAGAGCTGGGGGAGGAAATATCCTGGCCCTTTATTCTGGCCCGATAGGACTGAGGGACTCTCTTAGAGCAGAAGTTCTGGCACTCCTACAAGGGCTCAAGCTGACTAAACAGCTGGGTTTTCAGCAGTTGGAAGTGGAGGGAGACTCGAAACTGGTAATAGGTTGATGCAAACAAACAGCTTAGGTGCCTGGTCCCTTAGACAACCTGTAAGGGAGATTATGCAACTAACAAKGGAGCTTGAAGTCAGGTTTAAATGGACTAGGAGATCAGCCAATGCAATGGCTGATACTTTAGCAAAGCAAGGAGTTAGTAGGCAGAACCTTTTTTGGGCCTGTTTGTGATTTGATGAGGGGTCACCTTGTTTTTTGAAGGTGACAGTTGTACTAAGTTTCTTAAAGAATTAATGAAAGTTGCTGTTTCCAATAAAAAAAAAAGATGCCAACAACTTGAAAATAAAAAGATAAAAGAGTAACAATATCCTATAACCAAAAAGAATTCTAAAATTGGTATAGGAATTGGAACACTAACTTACTTCTCCATTGCTTCCAAATCCGCATCACATAAGCATATACTAAAGGAGGTAAAAGCTATCAAAAAGAACTTAGTAACAGTTTCTTGGGTTCCAAGGTTTGCCAAATACTCTAGCAAAACAGTAGACATAATCAGATATTCTGGGGATTGATACCTCAAGAGGGGAAATTGTAAAAGGATATTCAAAGACCCATAAAAAGATGGTTAACTGGGGCTAACTAATGCAGGAGCTGAAGAATCAAATTTGGAATTTCCTGAAATTTTATGTTTTTTGTATTTTTGGACAGTAGGGGTATTTTCGTCATTGTATAGTCCCATGTGGGCCTGGGCTATAGCATCTTGTTCTTCTAGTATAGTAGGGATTTTCTTTCAATTTTCAGTTTATTTGCATTAATAGGCAGAAAGTTATTGTGTTTCTTCACGCACAAAAGGAGTGGCATTTTTGTAATTATAGTGAACAGTATTCCGAGTCACACAAGTCACTGTATAAATAGATGTGTTCTCTTCCTTTTAAAGCCAATGAATGAATGAAGATTTCTCGAAAGCTCTTTTGCAAGCTCGCTGTATGGAGTGATTCCTACAAACCCTACAATGATTCTAGGACCCTTGGAGTGATTCCTTGGGATTTCTTTCTCTCTTTCTCTATCCTTTCTCTTCTCTCTATTCCTCTCTCTTTCTGTCTTGTGATGGTTTATTCCAGCCCTAGTAAATCACTAACCACCTCTGAAGGATTAGCTACTAAATGCATAAAAATATCTTGTAACAGTACTGCTGCTTACCAAATAACACTTCTTCCCGTATCTTTTCTTATAAATGCTGAGTAAAAGCAAAGGTTCTTGTTCACAAAAATGTTGGTTTGAACTTGGAGTGAAAAATGAAGAAATTAATATTGTATCCTTGTTTCCCCTTGGTATCTGTATCTGTATTCATATCTGGTCAGACCAGACTGGTCTTGCAACTCACATGAATGGTGTCCTTTATCAGAGGAAGCATGTAGATATGGCTGAAGTACACTAAAAACCAAGCGCATCAACTGTCTTGAAACCTAGAACTGTAAAACACGAATCTGCAATGGAAAATAGAAAAGAATATATAGGATATTTCACACATAAGCTAAACACCCAGCAATTATTTCGAAACATTAATCATTGTGATGACAAGTTAAAGATATTGGCATCAACGAAGTGAAATATTAGATACAATGGGATACAGTGATAGACCATCTAATGAACCAAATGCAGGACCCCTGTAAGAATTATCAGCTTGCTCCAATAACCGGAGAAAAAATATTTTGGTCAAGGATAGTGAATCCTTTATTGATATGATTCTTTGACTCTCAATGACAATGTCTATACTCTATACCAAAATTCAACTTGCTGGTCTTTTCAACCATATTGTTTGCCTGCTTTCTTTTGTCCTCCATCTTCTCTTTTGCATTCTAGCCTAAACACACTTTAATGAAATTGAATTGATACATTAAAATATCCACAAATTCAGGCAGACAAAACTCATCTCCATGCCATGGTGAAAGAAAACAAAATGAACAACATTCTTTCCTCTATTTCTGCAATTTCCAAATTGAGAGTTCAAAGAGTTACCATTTCACCTTGTCATTCAAGGTGCTACATGGGAAAACTGTTGATTGAAACAGATAGGGAATCTTCCTCTGTTTTATACTTCTATTACTTTATCTCAAGCCTGAAGCTTATGCTCATTGATTATTCATCTAGTGGGACCTACTTTTCATAAGCAAATGAAGACCAGTTTGTGAAACAGATTGTGTCTGATTGTTTTTACTTTCTACCACATAAATCCAACATGGCAATCTGCAAATTCAATTGATCAATTATGTAGATTAACAAAACAACCTAAGAAATTAAACCCAAATGTTGTATTGTTTGATATCCTCCAAAAACTTAACTTTTTGTGTCTTTCTTTTCTGACCTTGATAGTTGATATTTGATACAACCAAGCCTACAAACTACAAATTGGCATCAGCTTTGAAGGTTCTCTTGACCAATAGAAGTAAACAATATGGTCACTAATTAATAGCTCATTTCAAAAGTTGCTCGGGAATGCTATATTGCATCTTTGCTCAATAGCAATCATGGGTGAACAACTGAACATACTTCTGCAAAAGCAAATGCCTCAATCTTTCCTGCCAATTTCACCTTCTATAATTGCATGTCTTGTCAAAACAATCTCCTTAACTAGATTCCTGTATGTAAAGGGCCGAACAGCAGCTCGCAAGAATAGTTCAGGAGGCATCGTGCTCTTCTTGATCCTCCTTCTCCTAGGGCCATAACCCACATACTTCCACTCTTCCTCACTCACCTTTGCCCTACCCAGCCTCACATTCTCACCTCCCTCTTTCCCACTCATCTCTTTAGCCTCATTTTCCATTGTTTTCAGTTGCCTCTTATAGAATGCGGTAGAGGCCTCTACACTTTGCTTCACTAAACTTTCCATTTCTTCAGAGCTTCCAAGTGCCTTATTAAACTTTTCATCCCAGTACTTCTCAGTCTCTTCAGCACTTAAAGCTTCTTCTCTGATCCCCAATTCTTCATCATGATTTCCATCTTCCATGTCCATCACTATATCATCTCGATCATCATCATAATCTTCATCACCACTACCAGAATTGTCATACTCACCACTGTCATCATCATCATCATCGTCACCTTCTTCTTCTTCTTCTTCTTCTTCAATCCAATCTGTGATCTCAGTCTCATGCACATTGTCATCATCTTCATCTGGGGCATCACACCCCAACTCCATCTCCTCCAATTTTGCCTTCCATTCCCTAGTATACGGATGCAAGAGCTCAATTGGATGATTCGACAACAGGAACTCCAAGCACTTTGACTTCCCTTCATCACTCAGCTTCTCATAACCTTTAACTACATCATCCACAAATGCCTTTGGATTCACTTTCACAATCTTACACAACCCACCAAAGTACGTACACAGCTCAACTCTTCCATCTTCGTGTCTCAACTCAAACAGGTAGTCCTGTTCAGTATCCGGATCTAGCAGAGGCATCAAAGCCTTGAAGAAATCGATTTGTGGTTCAAACCTGCACTGATACACTGGTCTCTTGACGTAGATTATGTCGGGCCGCATCCAAGCTGCGCATTGTGTGATAAGAGCTCTGGCCTTGTTCCCTAGTCTGCTCATCAAGGTCCACTTATCCAAACGTTGATTCCCAGCCTCTAGAACGACCTCAGACACCAGAGTCCACTGCTGCCATGGTAGCTCTGTAATTCTCCACTTGGGATGTCGAACGAAGACCCAGAAATACCTAAACCCCACTGTTCGATCCATGGACTTCAACCTCCGAGTAAAATCCGTCGCCATTTCGAACTGTTCGATCTTTTCCCACTCCTCATGGTCTCGAACTTCACCAATTAAACTAACGCACTCGTCAGAGAACCGACCGCGGATTGGATCACCGACGACAATCCCGCGCCACGAGTAGGGACCGAATTCACCGTACTTGTACCAGTCGTACGGGTGCCGGAGATTGGGGTCGTCTTTCTCCATAAAACGAACCATGCGATCGTAACCCAAACCGATCATTTGAAGCTCCTCTTCCGAGAAACTGTCGGCCTGGTTGCGATTGGGGTTCTTAAGCCGGTAGAAGAGGTTCTCGGCGAGTCTCTTGCTTTTTCGGCGTGCGTTCTTCTTGGCTTCTCGCCGGAGCTCAGCGTTACCTTCGATGCGGCCCGTGGATGGTCCGCCGGGTTTTTTCTTGCTCCGTCCGGCGAAAGCCCTGGCATTCCGACGATGAGGAGCATTTCGTTGGGAGATAGAGGTTATTGCCTGAATGGGGAAGTTCGTCGACTTTATTGGAGAAGGAATTCGGGTTGGGGTTAGAGTTGTAGAGAGAGAGAGAGAGAGTCGTTTCAGGGCGACCCATTGGTGACAAGAGAGAGAAGGGTTTAGGGTTTTAGGAAGGGAGAAATCGTAGGTATTGAGCATTTCATAAAGTTAGAACTCAGCAGTCAGCAGGAAATTGTCCGTCCAAGGACAGAGGAGAAGATAAAGAGGCTTTCAAAAATCATGGGCTTAATTACTTAAGTACCCATACGATATTTAGAAATTACATGGAAGTTTCGGTGTTGTCGTTAAATTGACGGAAAGACTATTTTGCCCTTAACAGTTCATCAAATTTTCCAAATATGCCCCTTACCATTTATCAAATTTTCAAATATATATTAAATTGAAATATTTAAGGAAAAAAAATACAAAATATACCCCTTAACAGTTCTTCTTCTTCTTCTGTTCAGTCATGCACAAACACTTTAGTTGTTTATAAAAGAAAAAGAAAAAGTCTGGTTGTTTTCATTTCACAGAAAATCAGAAACCAGATTATGAACTATAATCTGTATACACACTTGCTGAAACCATCTTTGGCTCAGTTTGAGAAGAGTACAAAGATGTGACATTAGTAGATTATGGAGAAAAGCAAAGCTATGGATGGCGTCTCCTAGATGGATCTGATTTAAAGGGTGGTTTAGAGAGATATAATTGCATTAAAAACATCAAACCCAATATTAATTAAATCGGATTAGCAATTAATAGTAATTACTATTACTTGAAGTTACTTTCTCCCTTTGAAACCCTTCATGGCAACTTTTGGGTTCACCAAGTCACATTGTCATTTTGCCATGTGGCAATGCCAATGAGTGCCACTTGGCAACACTCTTATTTTGATACATCTCACATCCACACAAGACTGTTGAATTCAATTTCAAGGTATTACAAATGGGAGTGGAAAAATGACTTCAATTTTTTCATCTGGCATTTGTGGTCTAAACAAGCTTAGCTTTAGCGGGTATGCAGAGTCTTACTCGGGCTCAGCTTGGTAAATACTCGAACTCGGTTCGAAGAATATCGAGTTGGGTCAAGTAGCTAGTTGAGCCGAGTTTGAGCTTTGTAATATCTAGCTCACGACTCAAGTAGTTCGCAAGCCTAATCGAGATTTTAATAAAATATTTTTAATATTTTTTATTTATAATATAAATAAATATTATTTTTATTAATTTATTTATAATTATATAATTTTATTTATAACATTTCATAATATTGATTTATTTATTATTTTTAATATATAATCAAGTTTTCTAACATATATTTTATTTATAATACTTTAAATATTAATTTATTTATAACTTTTAATAGCAATATATTTATAATTGGTTCGAGCTAAGTTGAGTTTGAGTAGCTTGCAAATATTGGCTCGAGTCAAGTTCAAGTATAAAACTCAAAACTCAATCAAACTCATTGAGTTTTGAGCTCCGAGTTTTGGAGTCAAGCTCGAGCTTAATCCTCCCAAAACTCGATTTGACTCAGCTTGATTATACCCCTAGTGTGGAGGATTCTTGTTCCTATTGGATTTACTTCAAATGACATGGCTGAACTAGCAATTCATGTTGGGCTCATGCAAGTTCTTAACAAAGGATTCTACCCCCTTAACATTGAGCCTGACTCTCTATCAACCAAGGATTTTAAAAATGGACCGAATAGGGAATCATTCTGGGGTTTGGTTGCCAAGTCGAATGGTCCAACCATCTGGTCCGAATGGACAATCCGCTCTAACAGAAAAAATAAAAATAAATAAATAACCCAAAAAATGGCCAAAATTGTTCTCGGGTTGAACGATTCAATGTTTCAATCGCCCGAATCAGCGGTTTACTAACCAAATCAACGGTTTTTAGCCAAACAACGGTTTTGGGGTTAAACAGAACCGATTAAATGACCAGTTCCCGATTTCCTGGTCCAATTGTTAGGTCCAATCCAGTTTTGAAACCATGCTATCAACTATCATAGCTTTGAAGTCTCAAAGGTGCCCTAACTAGTAGGTTGAATCGTTGTTTAGTTGCACTTAAGGATGTCAATGAACCGGTTTTGGATTGGACCTCGTCCAATCCAAAATCAATTTGGATGGATTGGACGAACCAACAAGACATATTAGAGTGGACCAATCCGGTCCAAAATATTTATTATATTGGATTGGACCTGGTCTGTTTGTAACAAATTTGTATTGGATTGAGTTGGATTAATTCAATATCTTGTCCATTGATATAAGATAAGAATATATGTATCAATGGACCGGGTTTGAGCTAAAATCAATCTAAATCAAAATGAATATGAACAGATTGGACGGTCTAGACATTGAATTAGATCAGTCCAAATTGATCCAAAATATTCATCGAATTTGATTGGACCTGGTCCATTTATAATGGACTCACGATGGATTGGATCAAATCCAGTCCAATTAACACCCCTAGTTGCACTCTAGGCTCCGGCCCTTTTGTACCAATAATAATATATTTCTATAGTTTTCCCTCAGGTTTATAGAGAAGCTAATAGATGTGGTTCTAGGTAATAGCTTTTATTTTCTTTCCTTCAAATAAAAAAAATGCAATAGGCGTTGTTCTCTTGATCCTTTGAGAAAAGGGTGAGAAAAGGGTCAAAAATAAATATCTTTCAACAAAATGTTTGTCAGAAGTGGGATTTGAACCCACGCCCTCTCTCGAGGACCAGAACTTGAGTCTGGCGCCTTAGACCACTCGGCCATCCTGACGAAGCATGTTAATGTTAATCTATTTATTTATTTCTTCATTAGTCCGCACAATCACAATAACCTTTTCTACTTTTATAACCCCATCAAATCCGCCGCGTTGGTGTTATTCGAGTGCTGAATCAAATGATAATGTTTCACACCAGTGGTAAATTCATGGCCCCACTGTGGATTCCATGTATTTTATTATTATCCTGGAACATTATTATTATTAGTTTCACAACCTTTTGAACAACCACTTTGTTCGGCTAATTTATTGGGCAGGCTACCTTTAAAAATAATAAATAAATAAAATTTACTGGGCGGGCTTGGATTAGATTCGCGTCAAAATGACTCGAAAGCCTGAATCCAAAGAATGCTAACTTTATGCTATTTTTTCCTTTTTTGTGTGTGTTCTTTTGATGATTATATAAAATGCCAACTTGCACCAACATAATTATATCCTTGGGTGGAGTTGAAAAATAATTCACCCATTAATGATCAAAGTATCGGTATCGAGTATCATATCGAATAACTTGGATATGGATACGGATATAGGTTTACTTGGGAAACTCATAGATACAATTGAAAAGTATGAAAACACTTAAATATGCTAGGGAAATGCACAGAAATTCCATAAATATATTAATAATATTAAGTTTAATGTCAAAATAATTATAAATACATAGGAGCTTTATATTTTAATGGTATATATGAAGAAATATATTACAACTAATATAGCGAGATGCATAGATATGCAATTTTATTGATAATGCATCAATCAAGAATCTAAGACATATTATATAGATTCTTAGAAATTAATATATGCACAAAACCATTATCATTTTATTTTCTATTAAAGTCCAAGGCACAAAACATCTGCAACTATTCTATTTGAATTATTATATCAATATTTCTATTTTACTATTTTATTTTATAACATTAAAAAAAACAACAAAAAAAGTCAATTCTCAAATGTTTGGTAAACAACATTTTTATTTTTTAAAAAATAAATATGTTATTATAAATTGTAAAGTAAAGTATTAATTAATAATTTATAAGAAATGTATAATATTAACTTAAAATATATCAAATCTATTAAAATTTTGAAGATATATATCATATGAAAATTCATAAATTTTAATTACTAAAATAATTATTCCGTTATTAATATTTTTATTTTATAAAATTTCTAAAATACAAAATTATTTTATTTTTATATAAATGTAGATTAGTGGAATTGGCCAATTCAATTTATGTTATATTCTCAAATATTTTGCAAATAATATTTTTATTTTTGTAAATAGTAAATACATTATTATTTAATGCAAATTAAAATATTAAATAATAATTTATAAAAATTTGAATATACATATAATGTGCAAATTTATAAATTTTAAGTATTAAAATAATTATTCTATTAATAATAATTTTATTTGTATAAATTTCTTAAAATTAAAAATCAATTTTTGGTATATACATAGATTTGATAAATTATTTATTCCATTGTTCATAAAATACTAATTTTAAAAATTATTCTTTTTAATTTATAATTAGAGTTGTTGAATATTAGTATATATTGTTTATTTGGGTTATATGTAGACAACTAGATTTTAATGTTCATAAAGGTTAATGTATTTCTTTTATTATAAAAAAGTGATAAGTGGCTTGGTCGTTGAAGAGACATACACTCTTGGTCGTTGGGCAACTTTAGTTTTATGTTCAAATCACGCCTGTCTCATTTTTTTTTAAAGTGAGACATGATTTGTTGTTGTCAAACGAAAGCATGGACGCGGACATTTGTCATATCGGTGTATCAGATCATATTGCCTGATACTATACGATATGTGTCGATACAATAGCGTATCGGACTGATACACAAGACTGGTAGGATAAGTATCCAATCGTGACGTATCCTGCCAGTGAGGTCCAATGCCGATACGATATGTGTCAATATTATAATCCTTAATTGTATCTAGGGGTGCTAATAAGACAGGTTGGATCGGCTTTATGGTCATCAACTCAGGCCCAATTTTAAGATTTGGGCCTACGGCCTGAGCCTAAACTGAGGCTGAGGTTAAGCCCGTTCTTCCCAATCCGAAACCAGCCCAGCTCGCATTGTAATTTGATGCACTTGGCCTGAGTCACGCTCGAATTGTTCTATAAACCAATTTTATAATTACATGTATATATGTGTTTATGCAAATATATAGACATATATGTACGAATATATGCAAATATATATACAAATATGTACGAATATATGCAAATATATATACAAATATATATGTTTGAATGTGTATAATCGGGGCAGAGTTGAACGGCGTTCAGGCTACCTAAAGATTAGGCTTAGGCTCAAGAAAAAGATCTGAATTCTTCATCCAATCCCAGCCCAAAAACCGAAAATCCAAACCCAAACCATATAAAACTTGAGCCTGAATCAGTTCAGTCTCAGATTAAGCATTCGGTTTCACTTTCATCTATTGTATGTGTACAAAGCATATTATATTTATTGCTTGATAGGCGAAGACGGTAAGCACCTAAAACCCAATTCATCCCTTCTTTAAGTTGTTCATCTGAAACATCTTTTCCCTGATAAATATTTTGCATTGAAAAATTAAACTCTCATTTCTAAAAACTAATGGCATCTCGATTTCTAAACAGCATAAGAAAAAGAGGTCTCTACATTCCTATTTTATCCAATTTGGTACAATGGGTCATTTCGGATGGATTCCACAAAAAATATTAAATAATGAAATAATTAATGTATTATGCCTCCATAATGCACCACCATACACGATACACCATGTATCTGGTACATCAGTCTAAACGGGTCTCCCATCTAATAGTCTAATGATCCCAGTCATTATATTCCAAATGTGTGATGAAGAATCTAAGGCAAATGGTATGCTTTCTCATTTGCAGTCGTATGTTAATGTGTTCACTTGGGTAATAAAAACAAGGTCGGAAGGAATTTCTAAAATCATCATAGGAACATGTTAATGATCAAATAGATGATTTGATGATGTTGATTTTCGTGTAGCGGATCTATTAGCTGTTTCAAAATCACAAAATCAATAACTAATTGACCAATAGGATTTAAAAAAATAAGTGATGTTTTCAACCCGTTTTTGGTCAAATCATCCAAACCGTCATTTAGCCATGATTCAGGATTCAATTTTCTTAAAATTTAGAGATTAGTCAAAAACAGTTGATCTGATCAAATATCATCTGTTCCAGGCAGTTGGATTATTGATCCATTCGACCCGGAGAACAGGTTGCACATTGCATATTGAAGTGTGTACATAAATTTCCGAAGACCATAACTTTTTGAGATCTATACATCCCAACAAGTCATAAACACCTTGCCCTGCTATTTTCATAAAAAAAAATCTTCTGTTTAGCCATAAATAGCAACTTTCAATATATTTTTATACATAAAAATTAAAAACTGAATCAAAAAATATAAAATAATACACATATTATATGTAAAATATAACTATACATTGATAAAATATCTATATCTATATCTATATATAGAGAGAGAGAGATGATGTGACACGGCCTGACCCATTTGACCCGAATGGTGGAACTGATAACCCAAAAACAGTTTGGCCTTGGGCCGATTTTTAAAACATTGAATAAATGACTAATTGGCCAATCAGAACCAAGGTTCAAAGCATGGTTTTTAAAACGAACCGGTGACCGAACTGGTCAGGGGTCCGGTTACTGGTTCAAACAGTCCGACCGTTCGACCCGAATGGTCGGCCCGTTCTAACAAAAAAATAATAAAATTTAAAAAAAATAAAAAATTGGAAAACAGTCAAAACCGTTTGAACAATTCAAACAGTTAACCAGCCGGTTCAGCGGTTTGCCAACTAAAATCAACAATTTTGGAGGAAAACGGAACTGGTCAGGTAACCGATTCCCGGTTTTTCCGATCCGACCGTCCAGTCCGGTCTGGTTTTGAAAACAGTGGTTCAAAGTATCAATTTTGTATATCACCCAATTCTAAACATAGATACAAAGACCCTCCGTACTATGGGATTTGTGGCAAATGTACCTCTATACTTTCATTTGCAATAAAGATCCCCCCTCCATTAGCATTCCATTAGTTAACCTCGAAAAATAATACCCATTTGGCTGTTTAAAGCTTTAAATTTTCCTTTTATTTTTTGCTTGAATGATTTACCCTTTCACTTCTCGATAATTTAACAATTCCTGAAAATATCAGTTCTTATATGGTTAAAATTGCTGGCATGGCATATGTGTACATAGGTTCTCCAGTGACAGCAATAAAAATGCCTTCTTCAGTGACTGTAAAAGATGTGAACGACTTTTTTTGGTATCGCCATTTTTTTTTTTTTTTTGTATCAAGCAATGGCGTACCAAATAGCTCTTCACCTGTTAGATAGTGGCAACAACTTCTAACAAAAAGCAATGTAGGGTTTTCATCAAATGATTCTCTAATGATATGTTTGTGTAGGTTAGGGTTTAAGAGAAATAGAAAGTCAGGAATAGACGAAAGGGGGAACGGCTTTGCCCTCTATCTCCTCTCATGTGGGTGGTGGTTGGAGTTTACTGCAAGCTTGATAACTCCACATCTCAATCTTAATGCTTAAAAGCCTATTAAGCTTATTTTTCAACTTTGCCTGCTGTTTATGTTTTAACTCTTGTGTGAATTATCAAGTCCTGTTTTACTAGTTTTGCCTTACATTTTTGGGAGAGATCAAGTCATCGGTGTATTGAAGTTCTGAGCTAATTCTATTAGTCTTGACCCTACCAAAAAATATGCATACAAAGAGATAGAGATGCACAAAGAGGGAAAGCAAGTTCCACCATACAATGGTGGCTGGCTGATTAGTTTTGACAAGCAGGAAGTTTAAAAGATTTAAACTTCCAATTGCTTCCTAAAATGCAAAGGACACATAATCGTGTTCAAACCAGTTATGTGCTTATTTATTACTTGGAGCCTGATTCAGTGGAAAGCTCTATACAAAAAGAGGAAACCAAAGTTTCCTGAATAGTGGTTATTCTGCATTCGTTTTGGGAAAGAGGATGCCTAATGGTGGTTTAGCTTTTGATACTGTTACACATACTGATTAATGCAATGTGGTATCACTAATGAATTGGACCAATATAAAACAGAGAAAGGAGCAATCAATCTTCATTAATGAGCTAAGGTTTTCGTGGTTAGGTCATATGTTAAAAGGAAAATGGGGTCATCCCACAAATTACATTTAAATCAATTTATGAAAACTCAGGGTATGTTCAAGTATTTTACCTCTTATATATAATAAAAAATTGAATTAACCCCAACCCTTGAATTTAAGAAATAAGAACATTCGACAGAAAGAAGTAAAAAAGTCAGACCAACCGGAATCCAACACAAACCCAGCCTGATCTCAACCCTCAGGTTGCAATAGGAATAGGGTTAGAGGTTTTACAACTCCAGTTTGGTTAGGATTGATCTAAACCTAAACCTCACCAATTGCCCAATCAGAAAAGTAAAGAATCATGAGGAATTGGAGTGATGCAGCATCATAATGATGGAAAAGCATCCCTTTAACCTGTCTAAAAAGTTCCCTTCCCTCAAACTTCACTTCATGCCATAGGAAATATTTTACTTCCACAAAGATTGCATAGCATTGCAGCCACAAGTAAATTCGGCATCATACAACTATACTTTCCATGGTTGTAGATACCTTTCCCCAATATATACAGAAAATTCGTCAAAATTCCAAAACCCAGCATTCAAAACAAAATCACTCATATTGGCAAACAGCCCCTTACATGTTCCTTTGAAATTGGCCGCAACTAGACGTAGCAATGTCCATTCTTTAATAATTACAGCCAAAGATATGGAAAAGAAAGAGAATAATGCATGTAAATTCTTCCAATAAACATCAATTCTTCACATTTTTTTAACATAAGAACTTGGTTAGCAAGAATGCTTAACAACCACTTTATACCTTACTTGCGAGGGCGAGAAAGACACAGATATGATATCCACATGACAAATTGCAAATAGATGAGAAAGAAAAAGAAAGATCAATCATAAGGAAAGAAAATATTCCTTGTTTTTGTTGGGGAAAAAAAGAAAGAGAAATAGGCCTCGAATGATACATTAATCTTATTTTAATGGGTCTCAAATAGTACATTAGTTGTTGATATGTGCATGCTCAACGGATCACCAACATATAGGACAGTTCTCAAGCTCAGTCTATCACATCTCTTAAGAAAATAGAGAGGAGACAAAAAAATACTTGAAATCTGAAATAATGAAACCTGTACTCGAATATTAAAAAAATAAATAATATTAAAATATGGTATAAATGAGACCAATTCCTATCTCTTCAGATGACAAAAAATTCTCTTTACCCTCCTATATGATCTAAGTTTTTTTAAAAGAGTGAAAATACCAATAATAGAGCAACGAATTAGGGCATTTTCAAGGAGCTCTATCAAACGGCTTTGTATCATTGTAACAAACATCCCAGACAGCTTCCATGGCATCCCTTGCAGCTGCCTCTGAACAGTAAGGATTAGCAACCACTGACTTCATAACTCTTCTTTTCACGCACTCCTTTAAATATAAAGGCACCAAGGTATTAACTATTAAGAACAGCTTTCAAAATCAGAGGGTTAACTTCAAGCTAATATACGATATTTCAACTGAATATTTGAAAAGAGGGACAAGCAAATATTCAGTATTAACTATTAAAAACAGCTATCCAGCCAGACAAGACATTTGCAGCAGAAACAGGATCAGGACCTAGAAACTGAAGAGATTTCAGAATCTTGGGAGACATTCAAATTATTCTGATGGCATCACTGAAATGGCCAAGTGCTATCCTTTCTTTTGGGTCTCACCTTGTCTGTAGGGCATTGCTTTCAGGAGGGCATTCCAACATCACTGAAATGTACCCCCAGGCATTATTTTCTAGCATTCCTCCTTTCATTTCCTTTATTTTTTTATTTTTTTATTAGTAAATGTCTGACTTTATTAGATTTTGTTTATAAAAAAATGATGTACAATATGCCAAGTGACCCATAATGTGTACTAGAAAAAAAATTCACAATCACTACTACTATTATTTTACATTACATTTGTGCCCAAAACAGGAATTTCCTGTTTACCACTTGAGTGGCCAACGCATCAGCAAAGCTATTTTTTGATCTTTGCACCCATTTTCTGTTTCATTTCCAGTGGCAGCAGGTTTGCCTACCAAAGTTTCAAATGATAGCCTCCTTCACTCCTTGGTTCCTCTAGAACTGTAGTGTATTTCTATTTGCAAGGACCAATAAATACCATTTACCAAGGCACATTCCCAGTCCACCCCACGCCTCCCACCACCCCAATAAAAAATATCATGTCATGATTTTGAAATGAAATGCAAATGGCTTTTTGAAATTAGAGAATGTCGATTAATTTGTTTTTTGCTTGTGAGAGGTATGTTCTTAGCATCACAATTGAGAGGGAAGATCCAACTTCTCTTAGAGACTCGATTTACTCTGATCCGAAGAGAGATGATGGTGTGCTAACAAGAAAAAAAAGAAAGACTTGTTTAAGCAGGACTCTGACTTGCAAAGGAAGATGAACATTACCGTTTGGAGAAAGAAGACGAACAAATCATCAGAGAGGGCAAAGTTGTAATTTTCGCAGAAAAATGAAAAGGTGGGTGAATGGCAAGAAGTACATGGGGCTGATGCCTGTTTTAAAAACCAAGAGGTTGGAAATCAAGAAACAGTGGTGGATGGGGGGAAGTTTAATGGTTGGGATGCGGGGCAATACTTAGCTCCTACCTTGTTAGGAGAGTGGCTGGGTTGCTGGTGTATCACGTCAGGCTACCTTGGCAACACCTTGGAAAGCAATTCACAATCTGCTTCCTCAGTTCCTCAGTCTTATCAAGTATGATGTTATCTCAGGGAATTTAATTTGTTTCTGGGAAGACACTTGGCTTGGTGGCCGACCCTTAAAGGATTTGTTTCCTTCCTTGTTTTCCATTTCTTTGTACAAAAATGAGGTGATTTCGAGTTTTCTATTCCATCCTATTTCTCCTTTGAGTCACATTTGGGATTTTGGGTTCTGAAGGGGATTGAAGGATGAAGAAGCCACTTGTTTGTGGGAGGTTGTGTGCTAACAAAGGGGAAGATAGGAAAGAGAATACCATAGAAGGAAATGAATTGACTCAAAGGTAGCAAACAAAGGGGGATGAGTTTGACTGGGTTTGAAGTGGAGAAAGGGGATTCAAATAAACTAGTCTCCCAGGTTTATAGAAGAAAAAATACAGGAAAAAACCATTGGAGGATAAAGGTGATTTGGAGACAGAGGATGAGATTGATAAGGAAGAGATTTCGAGGCAGAGGATGGATGTGGTGGTGAACACTTTAACTTGAAGTTAGCAAAATTATGGGTTTATTCTTAGGAGGGGAGGAGTTTGTAAGAGAAGTCTTTAGAGAGTTGGAAGGAGTCAGAAATGGAGTCATTGGAATTAATTCAATAATAGGGGTTGCTCAAAAATTTTCAGAAATCAGTCGATTTTGCTAAATAGATTGGTCAAGCTAGTGAAAAGGGATTTTTTCCAAGGATGTTGATTTGGTTGAAAATTTTCATAAAGAAAAGAGGAACACCAGGGATGATGCAAGTGATGAGGTTAGAATTATGGTATGGAAGAAAGGAATTGGAAAAGACTCCAAATAAGAAGAAGAAGCTTAGGTAAAGCAAAAAGAGGTTTGCAAGAGAGTAAAATCAAGGCGTTGGAGTTTGTTTGCTTTGAGTTTTGGAGCGTTGTGATTTCTCATAGCAGGTTTCACTTTCTTTGAGGGTCATTATTTTTGCCTTTTGTGGGGATTTGTTGAGTGTTGCTAGGTGTTGGATTTTTGGTTATTTTGAGATGTACTTTTTTTATCCTTGAGTTGATTTCTTATCACCATCTTGTATATTTTTTTGTCTTTATATAAAAATTTTATTTTACCTTCAAAAAACAAAAAGAGAGAGTACATATACAATTAAGAATCTTTATAGATACATACATGATAACCACCATGCTTGTCACACAATGATATGAAGGTAGAAGGATCATACACCAAGTTCATATTATAACTCTATTCAAAGTAGTATGGGTATGACTCATGGCAATTTTTTTTGTAACTATAAAGTATTACCAAGGATATCGTTTAGAGTCAACAATGAGTCAAGCAGACCTGACAGAACCAAACTGATATTATACAGGGTTTGGGTGTGCATTACATGTCCTAATTATAATTGGGTTGGGACCAGCTTTGATTGTTCTGAACCTAATACCCAAACTGACTATATATAATTTGTATGTATAATTATGTATTATGTATATTGACATTATACAAGGTTTGGGATTGTCTGTACTTTAATTTTGGCTACCTTGGCAACATGTAGTCACCGTTCATAGGAAACTTACTGACACGGTAACACACAGTTTAAAATGTTGGTGCCAAAGGAAATACCGGTCATCCAAATACAGAATGTTGGAAACATGCAAAAATATAGAATGTTATTTTATGCAACAATAAAATATGCATATATAGACCCTTTTAAATTATTTTGTTCCAAATAATCAAAAGTACATGATAGAGTGAGTTCAAGCAAAATTAAACTCATAGAAAGTGCAAATGATTCTAATAGAGATACCAAATAATTTATTATACAAGCAGTTTTTTTTTTGTATCAATAACTGGAAATTCCATTGATTAATTAAAAGGATTACATCAGATGAAAAAAAGGAGGAGATAACCTCCCTTATCTCTCCCTGGAAGCAGAAAATTACAAAAGACAATTACAATTGTGCCCAAAATAGATAAGTTCTACCCATCCCCGGCCTAGCAAGAGAATCTACAAATGAATTTGCACATCTTTTAACCCACTGAACTCTGACTTCCATATTCTGAGTCAACCATTTAATCTTTTTCTTTTCATTGTTGAATATCCAACGATCCTATTCTTCTTTTTGCTGCCAATTAACCACCAGCTTTGAATCCTTCTCAATTATTAACTTCTTAATTTTTAGAGAAATTGCTTTTTGGATTCCTGCAACTGCTACCAATACCTCAGCCTTCCCAAATGGTCCCAAATAAAGAGCCACCACTCTACCACCCTCGTCGACTCTTCCTATTCCAGAAATGCCCAGATTGCCCAAGCAACTCCTATCAAAGTCCACTTTGATGAAACCTCCCCAGAGGGGTCCAATGTGCAGTATTTTTTTTTTTTTTGATCAATAACAATTTCATTAATTCACCAAAGTTACATAAGGAAGACAAACACACTTATCTTCCAAGTACAATCAAGAAAACAAAAGAATAGGTAGAGACAAAAAATTACAACTTAGCCCAAAACATTGAATCCCTTTCTGCCCCTTGTTTAGCTAAACCATCAGCTAAAAAATTGGCTGATCGTTTGACCCAGCACATTTTAACTTCCATCTCGCACCAGCCACTTATTTAAATTTCCTCCTCTGATTACTGTACCTCCATAAACCATTGCTGTCTGCATTCAGCCACCCTATCACCACCTCCGAATCCCCTYCAATTAAGAGTTTTTTGATGTTCATCTCCTTGGCTTTCTGGACTCCTTCCATAACTGCAAAGATCTCAGCTCTAAGGGAGTCATCCACTCCAATTGTACCTCCATAAACCATTGCTGTCCAATGTGCAGTATTAGATGGATTAACAGGTGCAGATTCAGCCACCTCTTTCCAATTCAGCATGATGTCATCAACTGAATATAAAGAAAAAAACCATCGTCCATATTATTCATCAAAAAAACAAAAAACCATCGTCCTCACCCAATGAGAAGCCCAGGAATCCCTCCCCTAACCAATGTTCCAAAGTCCCATCCATTTGCCAAGAGCCTATGAATACTCTTCACAATTTTTACCCATGGTTTTTCTCTCAATATTCTCAATTCCCAATCCTCCTTTTCCATTCAATCCGTCAACACCCCTGACTAAAATTGGGTCAATAATTTGTCTATTCTGCATGAAAACCCCTTGGTTATGAGAGTTTAAATGTGAAAGAACTTTCTTAATCCTTAAAGAAACCACCTAAGCAATGATTTTATATATGCTATGTACCAGATTCATAGGTCTGAAGTCCCTAGGGTAAATGGCTTAAACCATTTTGGGAATCAAAGCTAAGAAAGTACCCGAATTAATGACCCCTCTCAAAAAGTTTACCAAAAAATCTCCAAAATTTCAACTTCTAGAAAGTCCCAACAGCCTTGGTAAAATGCCATAGAAAACCAATTTGGTCCTAGCACTTAAGATCCATCTATGGAGAATACAGCTTCCCTAATTTCCTCCAATTCAAATTTTCTTTCCAGCCAATCTTTTGAATCCTCTGATAACTTAGGTCAATTTAACCCCTCCAGCCAAATTCTATCACCAACCGGCTTCCTAAATATAGATCTGAAATGATGGGCAAAGACCTATGAGATTTCATCTTGTTGAGTGAGAATCACACCTTCTACTTCTAATTTTGCAATAAAATTCTTCCTTTCCCTCTCAGTAGCCAAGGCATGAAAACTTTAGTATTTCTATCGCCTTCTTTGGTCCACTTATACCTTGATTTTTTGTCTCCAAATTATTCCTTCCTTAATTAAAATGTCTTCCAATAGACTCAGGGATCTCCTTTCAAATTTATCATTCTCCTCAAAGATACCTCGATTTTCTTTAAGGTCCAACTTTTTAATCTTGTCTGTAGCCTCCTGTTTTTTCACCTCTAATCTCCCAAAGTGGTCAATACTCCTTGATTTTCATTTTCAACAATTTCAATCTCCTAATAAAGCCCATACCCTTCCAGGCCCACAAAAGGCAGCTAACCCACCAATCTCTGATTTTGTCAATAATACCTGGGTGGGACAGCCACATGTTCTCAAACCTGAATGGTGAAAGCTCCCCTCCCACTCAACTCTTCCTCCGAAATGAAAATCAGCCAATTGTTAGAAGTCACTCTCAGTAAAGTGCACATGATTCGATTAAAGAAACCAAATAATTTATTGCATAATAAAAACTACAATTTAACTTGATTTTTTAAAAGAAATTCGAGCTGGCTCAAAATGGTAATCAAGTCCATTATGTGGGCATTAATACCACTATTCCACATATCTAAAATTTTGTTGTTAACTTATAATATTATCTCTTGTACGCCGCATAGCACCAGTAGCTTTTTATCGGAGAATATGTCAATTCCAGTAATATTTGGTATGGGAACCCATGGAAATGGAAACATGTCATGGAAATAGTAGGAAATTTGTGGACATATTAAACCATGAATATGTTACATAGGCACTCTCACTAAGTTGATCTGGAATTCCAGAAAGAACAGAAATACTTACTTGTTCATGACCTCGTATTTTCATATAACCACGCAGTAGTTCTCGTTTGTAGTGGCAATCGCCACTTAGATGGCCAGCACGAATCTACATACAAATAGAGGCTGAAATGAAAGAAAAAGAAAGATATTGGTGGCAAGGGAGGATATATGAAAGTTTCAACTATCATGTAGATACAAACCTCACTACAGGCATGATGAGCACAATTCGCCCAGTCCAAGTTTGCAGCCCGACAATCATCATAGGCATGGATCAACTCATGAATAACTACTTGGTTTACCTCATCTTGAATATTCATGTGGTTACTACATACCAGTATCTGTCAACCAAAAAAGAGGAGCATGAACTTAGTAAACACCCTTACATTGAGTTAATTCAAACATCAAACAACAAAAGGAAACATAAGTTTCAAAATCCATGTCATAAAACCCTTAGTTCCAATTTCCTCATCAGATAATAACTTCCTTGTAGTCCAATATTCCCAAATATGGCTACTAATAATTCATTAAGAAATAAGAATCAGATACCACTAATTTTAGTTTCATCAAACAAGTTGTTATATTGTTACTTTTTTGATGATTTGATACCTCCAGTGTTTCTGGTTTCCTTCCCTACCCCCCCCCCCCCTCCTTTTGTTTCATTATATTCAATTCATAGATGATCCAATAAAATGCAGGAGAAGATAACTTATAGAATCCGGTCCATTGGGTATTGGTGGGGTAATTAGAGAAGAAAATGGAAACATCCTAGCATTGTATCCAGGCCCAGTTCAGCAAGGTGATGTGGTGAGATCAGAATTATTGGCAGCAATTTATGGGGTGGTGAAGGCTTAAGAAATGGGGATTAAAAGACTAATCATTGAAGGGGATTCAAAAAAGAAAAATTACTAAGAAAGCAAAATGCCACATTTTAATTTTCATCGTTTTCCTTATTCATTTTTTGGTAATAAATAAAAAAGAAAAATTACAAAGAAAGCAAAGAAGAGGGATACAAAGAGGTGATAAGATAGCACCCACAAAAGAGAAGAGACAGCCCCTTCAACCAACTACTACCTCCAACACAATGACATAAAACACATTGACAGCACACCTTTAACATAAGATTAAAAAAAAAAACATCACATGAGAGAATTCAACACACTATTAACAAAACAACAACAAACTCACTTCACTAGACTCCACACCCCCACCAATTGACAAAACCAGCAGAAATTACAAGAGTAGCAAAAAACCTGAAAACTTATCAAAATTTGCTAGAAAGATCTGCTGCTACAGAATCTTGACCGGGAAAAACTTTGCTCCTCAAGTTCTGTTTCTTTGTTTTCTTCCCCTTCTTACTAGGCCAGACACCAAACAAACCCCCTCTTAATCGTGCAAAGACTTTCAAAACCTAAATATCACGATGAGTCTTTTTACTTCTAAACCTGGACATCATTTTTCCTTATTCATTTTCAAATGGAATTATTTTTTTCTTGGTTTAGTGTCACTTTCCTTCCTCTTTTCTTCCCTATCTAGTCCATCCCTCCCGAGACCCTAGATAGCTGATAACATCTAGTAATTGTCCTTTATATTCCAAATAAATTAAGAAAATAAATAAAATCTCAATTACAACAAGAGAAGTGAAGATGGTTACCCCTTCACCCCGTACATAACCACCACTGATCTGTTTGTCACAATTGACAGCCTTGATGAACTTGTCCCCAATCATGCATCCAGCTTTCTCTATATGCTCTTTCAGAAATCTAACAGTAGGAGCTTCAAAATCAACAAATAAAAATCCCTGACTATCTTGCAAAAGGATATACTAGTAAACGTGCACGTGCTTTGCACGTGGCAATTCTACATGATGATAATGATAGTAATAATATATCCAAATTTTTCTATAATTTTTATGTATTTTTTAATTTTTAAATTTTATTTTTTTTATTATTAACCAGCTTTCTCTATATGCTCTTTCAGAAATCTAACAGTAGGAGCTTCAAAATCAACAAACAAAAATCCCTGACTATCTTGCAAAAGGATATACTAGTAAACGTGCACGTGCTTTGCACGTGGCAATTCTACATGATGATAATGATAATAATAATATATCCAAATTTTTCTATAATTTTTATTTTTTTTATATTTATTTGTTATTTTATTATTAATCAGATGCAGGTCACAAAATCCAAATCTGATTACATAAACACCTCATCCAAATATGTGATAACCGAATCAAGTTGTGAAGTTTCAAGTATCATTGACGGACCTACCTACTTAGCTAGACTCCTCATTTTGTAGTGTTTTATTTTTCTAGCGTATCTTTTTTCATTTGTTCATTTATCAAAAAAATGTAAGATTTAATGTGGAAAGTAGTAGAACAATTTACAATTTAAATCTTACAATTAAATAGAGACTAAATTCAAAATTGAGTATTTTAGTCAAAAAAAAGTTCCACAAACTTATTCATATTTTTAATAGTAGTGTAAATATAGAATTATAGATGTGTTGAATTTTTTCTACATTTTTTTGTATTTTTGTGTGTAAAAGTAAGAGAAAATTCCCAATTAGTACTCTATACTTTGGGCCAAGTGTCACTCTAGTCCCTGAACTTTAAAATGCAACAATTCAGTACTCGAACTTTCAAAGACACAAATGCCCTCAAAGTGTCATCTAATTTGCTTATCAACCATCAAAAAATGACTTTGCCTCTTCTATTCAAGAAAGTTAGGATCACCAAAATGCCCATTGAGACATGACCCCAACTTTTTTGAATAGAAGAGGCAAGGATTTGGGATTGTTCATTTTTTGTCAACACTTGGATGGTTGATTAAGAAAATTACATGACACTCGAAGGACATTTCTTTCTCAAATACTACTTAATGGCTAGTTAGCAGTTGGTTAATGAAAGGTACTAGATTGGCACATTTTGAAAATTCAGGTACTAAATTGTCGCATTTTAAAGTCCAGGGACCAATTGCAAAATTTTATGTATTTTTATATTTTATTAATTTTTATTATGTATTTATGGCATTAAAGGTTAACGCATTTAACCCAAAAGTTGAACTATTTATTTTTAATTTTTATATTTCATTTTTTATTAGTTCTAAATTATGTATTTCATTTTCATTATCAATAAAAACAATTCTTGCTATTACACTTATTTTTTTAATTTGATAAATAAAAATATCATAAATGTGTCTAAATTTTTTTGTACCTTTCTATATTTATTTATATTTTAAAAATTTTATTACCTAACCATAACTTCGTAGGTTGATCAATTTGATTCAGATGGTTGAATTGCTAAGCCACCACTTGGATAAAAAATTGTTTTGTTTTTGAGTCAGCTTTAAAACATATGGGTTTATATTGTTAAAAATATTGACATTGATCTAATTAGTAGCATTTATCTTTGCCACAAAAAATTAGTAACATTTATTAGTGAAAAATAACTTAAAATATAGGATTTAATAAGAGAAAATGGGATTTAATGCCTTAAGTATAATACTTAATGAGTGGGGATTAAATGAGGTGGAAATTAATAATTGAAGTGACATTTCAATCCTTACAATTAGAGATGCATTAAATACACAAATATAGACATTTTAGTAGTCATTAAAGCAATAATAAAATGACTTTTATACCGTTTCTCAAATAAAGAAATAAAGGGTAATTTTAGTCCAAAAAAATTCCACATTGCATTCACACTTATATATAGAGAGAGAGAAGATTATTTACTTCTGAGGCTTTTCTGGATCATATCCTGGCACTCCTCTACTGTTCGGCCACCATTTTCATAGGGGGAGAAGCTTCCCGAAGCGGTCTTTGTGGCAGATTCCTCTGTCATTGTCTTGGGCAAAAGATGTAACCAGACTGTATAGAGTATTGCATATTACAGAATAGTCAAAGATATCAGTAAATATAAACTTTCCCATTCTTTACAAAGACAAGTAGGTAGAACCTATGTTACCTAGCCTAGATACAATGAGAAAATAGCTAGTTAAGGTGTAACTAAAATTTGAGGTATCTGACAAGATACCTACCCTTATACAGGCATCCAGGTAATATATGATACAACTAAACAGATGATTGGGTGAACCAGGTTTCTTTCATACTGTTCAGAAAGTTGATAAATTCAAAATAATGAAAAGAAAGGGAAAACCCAAACTGCCAAATTGGTTTCATCACATGCTCCTTTGGGGAAAAAAGAGAAGCAGAGGGGGTGGGGAAGTTGCTGAGACTGCAAGATAAACCAAGGAAAGTCACCAAGAATGCCATCAGAGAATGTAATATAACCATAGTGCTTAAGTCAGAAATGGGGTTTCTTACATGGATGCAATCAGAACACCAGTATGGCCAACAAAGGGAGGTGTTCTTTCAAGAGAAATGGTGAATCCTATTTCATGGGGATGAAAGTTACTCGTGTGCATAAGGTTGAACAAGGCATGGCAATGCTGTAAATCAGATGTATGACAGCAAGTCAAAAATGGAAAAAAAAAATACTTCATAACATATTTTGTTTCATTTTGCCATGATAATAGATCACAGAAGACATATTGAAAAACCAAAATGGCAATGGAGAGGATAGGCCTTTTATTAGATCACTGGAGTATGCGTTTTGGGTATGTGTCAACTAAACCAGAAGAAGATGAAGATTCTGCTCTAGCAATCTATATTCAAGTCTATGTGCTCCCCTCAATTCTTTGAAGTCTGACCATAGTAGGGCCAATTGGAGATCATTATAGGTAAAAGTGGAAATTGAGTGGGTTTGGTTTGACTATCAACCCATCCATCTAATCCACCAACCCATTTAAATAAAATTAAATGGGCTGGATTCAACCCCAATCCACATTGACCCAACCCAACCCATTAACCTTGTAACACCTTCAGTTTTATGAAAAGATAGCTTGAAAGTGAAAACCAACTCACTTTTAATAACTTGGTTAGACATGGCAAAATGATAAGAATGGTTGTTGTGAGCATTGGAAAACGGCTCACTTGGGGTTAAGTTGGAGTCGCCAACCATTAGTTTTGGAAATAGAGGTGATGGGAGATCAACATCGAAAAGCATGTTCAGTTTTGTAGTGACTCCAACGGCCCAAGGAACTGGCTAAACCAGTACAGGTAAGACTCGGATGGAAGAGGAGAAGGGGTTAGGCACCCCTCTCCCGGGTCCAATAGGTGGGGCCCACATGGGATTATCAGACAATCATAAACACAAAACATAGATATTTAATCCATCAAAGACAAATTTATCAAAGAAAGAACAAATCAACATAAAAGAAAAACCGGTTGGTTGGATTCGTCCTGTGTCAATAGCATATTTAACTGGATGGTCAGACCGGTCAATCTTGTCAATTGCCCTATAAATGCAATGATTGTACTGCTAAAACAGTCAACCAGGTTGTGCTCAAGCTAATTCGGGTAGGGTGCAAGTTCAACCATATCTGTGCAAAACCCAAACCTTTGTTTATAAATGTGACAAACCCAACCCTTAACGCCCTACTCTACTTGGAATTAATTACAGCAATAGATTACAAGTCGAATTTCCAGCAATTACCATTAGTTAATCCATTGAGAATCAATTATAGCAACTAATCCTGAGTAAAATCAATGAGTTATTTGAATTTAAATAAAGGGGCAATGGGACTAATGAAAAAATGGTAAGTGGGTGGACCATGTGTGTTGGGTCTGAAAATTCCACCCATAATTGTAGGAGTTTTATTAAGATTGACAAAAAAATATGGAACTCGAAATGATTGGGTAACAATGTAGCTCTAATGGTGTCAGCGTTAGAAAACGGCTCACTTGAACTAGAAATGGAATCGCCACCCATCAGTTATGGAAATGGAGGTGATGGGACCTACGAGAATGGCATCAAAATCAATTTTCATTTTTTAGTGACTCCAAGCCTCAAGCACTAACTATACCGGTCTGAGTAGGATGGGAGAGAGAAGGGATTAGGCACCCCTCTCCCAGATCTGATTGACTATAAACATACTAATAAGCAAATCAAGAACAAACCTACACAGGACAATCCTCCTAAAATTTTTTTATGCTTTTTTTTGCTATTTTATTATTATTATTAGTAGTAGTAGTAGTAGTAGTAGTAGTAGTAGTAGTAGTAGTAGTAGTAGTAGTAGTAGTAGTTGCGCTTTTTTTATGAGGCGTGCTAGAGGCATACGCCTCATACAGAAAAGAAAAAGAAAAAAAAAAGGAAAGGGAAGGAAAGGGAAGGGAAGGGAAGGGAAAGAAAAAGAAAGAGAAGAAAAAAAAGAAAAAAGGAAAGGAAGGGAAGAAAAGATAAGGGAAAAGAAAGTGGTTTGCCCTCTGCCCCCTCAGCTTCGATGCAGCCCAATTTTTTTTTTTTTTTTGAGTTGGGGAGGTGGGGGGGGAGAGGGGTGTCTTCCTCCACTCCAACAAGAGAGCGAAGCGAGCTTGCATCTTTTTCGACAAGACCCCCCCCCACTTTTAACTAATGTTATACATCTTTATTCTTCTTAATATAAAAGATTTTTATTAAAATAAAGAAAAATGAGACCCCTCTTCCTCTTCATCCTCCTCCTAACCCCCTCCTTGTGTTCGGGAGGCTTAGGCCTCTTGTGTTCGGGAGGCTTACGCCTCTTGTATTCTGAACTACGCCTCACGCCTCTAGGTAGTGGAGCATCTCGTGTCACGCCTCCGCGTTTTAAAACATTGATCCTATCTATTAAACCAAATATCCAAACCTTTTAAACAAATTCGTCATTACAATTTTTTATTTTCTGTTTTTCACCCTTTTTTATTTTACCCACTCATATCTTTATTCTTACTATTATTGTTTATTTCTTTTATCATTTTCGTCTCTTCCAAATCTGTCTTACTCCTTGTAGCCGATATCTTCCTCTTTTAGTTTTGGTTTAACACCAGGTGAATCATCCATCTTGGGACCTCTTATTACGAATTCAGGAAGTAAGACCAAATAACTATGCAACTCCAACTCAATTTAATCAAAAGATAACAAAATATTCAATATCCACCGATCCGCAATCAGAAAAACAAGGCAATCGACATGTTGATATCAGTTCTAAACACGACAGAAAAAGGAGACAAGGAGATTAAAATAACGTGGGAAACAGAATGCTATACTAAGATTCAAAGACCTATCAGCTTTTTCTTCACACCAATTCAACCTCCAAAGAAAAAGAGGTACGTTGAGATGAATAATAATGTTATCGCCAATCGCATGAGAGACGGAGAACAACAAGAAAAAAAAAAAAAAACAGTCATTAGTTCTCTTGACTATTAATCAGATAGTTTAACTCTAAAAAAAAAAAAAAGAGAAAAAAATAATTATAATGCAAAACAAGCTCGGCAATAAATATGGACTATGACAGGTGACGGCCGGTTCGGTAGCAGTCTCTATACCGGCTCCGATCAATGATCCCAGATCTGGGTTATTCCAAGATAAAAGCAAATAAAACAGAAAGAAAAACAAAGAAAAACGAATGAAAATAATTAAAAAAGCACAGACGGAGTTTACTTGCTCGAATATAGGCCTGAGTTCGTTGCTGCGACAGGGGATCGTGCTATCGGGAGGAGTTTCACGTGGTCACTGCTACAGTCTATTCTACTTGCTCAGCGGACGGAACAGATCTTAAGTGATGGTTTCAGGGAGGCGAAGATCAAAGTGAAGAAAGAGGAAGGACTGCCGTTCTACGCTCCTCTCGAAGAAGAAGACGATCTACAGTATCTTCGGGTGATTTCAGCGGTTCAAAAAATAGAACAGAGGAGGAGGGAGGAGGAGGAAGAAGAAGAAGAAGAAAAAGGAGGACGAGAACAGAGAAAGAGAGAACAAAAGAGAGACAGATGGAGAGAGAAAGATCGGAGGTGGAGGGTCGCCGCCCCCGCTTCTGATCTGCGAAGAAGAAGATGAACAGTCTTCCCCCAAATTCGGCCGATAGGTTTAATCGTTTAACTTGTATGGGTCAGTGGCAAATTTTGTAAATTACGCAACATATGGGGCATTTTAATAATTTTGTAAAAGTTAGATAAAACTGGGTCCAAGGGGTTAAACCGGGTTTCCAGTTGAATGGTGAAGATTTTTAGGTCAAATAGGCCAAAACAGAATTGTATGAAAGGGTAAAATGGGGTTTTTTGGATTGACTGGTGGGATCAGATCGGCAACTGGCCTCAAATCAGGCAGGTCTAGAGAGTGAGGAATTCGGTCGATCTAGAGCTTTAGATTAAAATCTTTTATGCAATGGGGGCAAATAAAGGCAGTTTTGGATGACATTTCAGAGGGTAGGGTTTTTTGGCAGCCTAAGGTGATTGTAAGATCAGATTGGGCCAATTGAGCCTGGATTGGGCAGATCTAGGAGGGGTTTGATTTAGACAATGGGCCTCGAAATGGAATCTGTGTGATGGAGGGGCAAAAAAACATAGATTTGGGTGAAATTTCATAGGATAGGGATTTTGAGACAGTGTGAGGTGATTGGTAAGGTCCGATTGAGCCAATTGGGCCTGGATTAGGCAGATCTGATAGGGGCTTGATTCGATCAATTTGGGGGCCTTGAAATAGAATCTATGTGTGATGTAGAGGCAAATAAAGTTAGTTTTGCGTGAAATTTCACAAGATATGGTTTTTGAGAATTCTGAGGTGATTGGTAAGGTCGGATTGGGCCAACTAGGCTCGGATCGGGAGGATTTGGAATCTGGTCAATCTAAAGCCTTAAAATGGAATCTTGATACGACAGAGGAGTAAATGGAGGAATTTTGAGTTGATATTTTGTGGGTAGGCATTTTAGATTATCTAAGGTATAATGGTGGTATTTGATCTATGGGTGGATGTGTAGATGGGGATTGATTGGGGCCATCGGATTGGTATTGGGTAAATTTAATGATGGATTTAAGGGCTCTCGGGGCAAAATTCATTTTTTTTTTTTTGGTTTTAGGTGTTTGGGAGTGATCGGAATGGTCTGATCAGGCGCTCAGGGTAATTTGGAGGTTTAGACAACGGATCGAGCAAAAATAAGGTGTTGACAAATAAAGAACCATTATGTTGAAGGAGAACATTGTGGTTAGCCCAATGGTATTTGATCAAGGGTGATTTTGCTCGACCTCGTAACAGGGGGACACGTGGACACGCCCTGACTAACAGATGACAACTCAGCATGACCAGCCCGTAGCATAACAGTCTCGGGTACCCATCTACCCCAAACTAAAGTGACCTCGAGACAGGGTCACCCCGAAACGAGATCGCATCGGTACCAAACCGCAACAAGAACACTTCAATGCCAAGGCACTTCGACATCCAGTCCAGCTGGGGGCTTAAAGACGTCAGCTCAAGGATACCAACATGCCACTGAGGATCCCAAAAATCCTTCCGACGGTTCCCGAGTCTCGTGGGATCACACCGCGCAATAGCCAGCCTTATCTCCCCCGACCGATTCGTGCGGACTTGATAAACCCTATTCGTTGGCAACACTATCTCCCATTATCGCGGAAACGGATCTCATCGTGACGAGAATTCTGGAACTACTCTGTGAAACCCGCGAGGACTTCATTATATAAAGGCTCCATCCCCTAGGGGTGCAAGGTATGACTTAAGCATCGGAGCGACCTCGCCGGGTTAGCATCCCGAGGTACTCTGATATCCTTGTAGGTTTAGTCCGCCGTCCGTCTGGAATCCATATCACCTCCAGCTGGGAGCAGCCATATCGCGCTAAATCAATTGGCGTCGTCTATGGGAAGCGTTACGAGAAGCCTTTTTCCACCAAAAATCACAAATCCATAATCAATGGCATCCTCCAGCAACGTCGGACAGAACGGAGAAATGAATATCTCTGGGGGGCAACCTCAGATCCCGACTGTGTGCATCGATCAGTTCACCATACCGCTCTCCGTGGGTGGGATCTAAACGCTGACTATGCCTTAAGCAACTGTGCCAGTAAATACCCCACTTCCTCCAATAGTGGGTGCAACTTTTGCTGAACCATCTGTGGTTCCCCCTGAGGTAGGACAGCATCAACTCGACAACCTGGTACACTACATACGATCTATTCAAGCCCAAATGCAACAGGTCCAGCAACTTCAGCATTACTAGCAATAGGTCTTGCACCACATCTACCAGCAGCAATTCCCACCGCTGCAGCAGAATCAACAGCCGGTTCCACCTTGGCATCCAACAGCATTGCAGAACAAGTCTCGTTGTCAGAACACTCACCCTCCTCGTCGGGGAGAGACTTCCCAGATTCAGCATCCTCTTGGGAGCCAAGTCTCATCCCGCGGCAGGAGGGAAAGGCAAGTTACTCCTCCCGCCTCACAGCAAGTGAACAAGTCGGGAGACACTCAGCTCGCCAGAGCTACTTCACCTCGGCCCTCGCAACATGAGGGTTCGCTTGCAGGGAACCGGTTCGGGGTTCTGGCCGTGGACTCCAGACGAGGCCCCTCTATCCAAAGCAGCCAGCGTCAGCAGTCTGAACCACACCATCCCAGGACATTGCCCGACAACACAGAGGTCAGCAGCACCAATGCGGAACCAGTCAGGAAGCAGCAAAGGCAGCGTGCTAAGGCACGTCTGGCTGTAGCTCCAAGCCAGCTCGCTGGACCTAGTCAGCCCGAGCAGCCTAAAGGTAAAGAGGAGGCAAGCTCGGAAGCCACGAAGACCGCTCCCCTCCTCTCCATGTCATCTCCTTTGTCCTCCGAGCTCTTGGCGACACCGATGCCGAAGGACTTCAAAGTGCCTCTGCTGGATAAGTATGATGGGTCGTTCGACACAAATGATCATGTAAACTCCTTCCAGTCCCAGATGCATCTAGCTGGGGCTGATGAATCTTGCATGTGCGTTGCCTTCTCCACGACCTTCAAAGGAGTAGCTCGCACATGGTACAGAAACCTCGCACCAGGGACGATCAAGAGTTGGACGCAGTTCGTGCAGATGTTCACCTCGCACTTCATCACCAGCAAGAAGTGTATGAGGTCACAAGAAAGCCTCTTCAACATAGTCCAGAGGGAAGGAGAGTCGATCCGGAGCTACATCAAGCGCTTCAATGACACATGTTTGCAGATCCCTGACCTGGATCTCGCTGTAAGACTCGCGGCAGCAAAGAAGGATATTACCCATAGGGAATTCAAGTGGCACGTAGTGGCAAACAAGCCCAAGGATATCACCGAATTCCTCAAGCTCGCCGATCAGTTCGTCGGGACTGAAGAGGAGATGAACTAGAAGAATAAAGCCGTAGCGGAGAAGAGAAAAAGAGAAGATGACAACCCGAACAACGGTGGCAGCAAAAGAAGAAAAAGCAAGTCTCCAACCAGGGGAAGAAACAAGTCAGATCAGCATTCCTGAACTCCTCCGGCTGAAAGGACGAACTGCATGCCCCTAAACGCGAAGCGGTGAGAAATTCTCATGGCGATAAAGGATGCCTCATATGTGAAGTGGCCACCTCGATTGAAGGGAGATCCCACCACTAGAAATAATAATGTTTGTTGTCATTTCCATAAAGATCATGGTCATATACCGAAAATTGTAGAAATCTCCGCAACGAGATCGAAAAACTCATCCGTCGTGGATACTTGAAAAATTTTGTACAAAAAGAGAATAAAAACCAGACAGATCGGCAGGAGGAGCAAAGGAGAAATGCTCCTGAGTCCAGCAGCAGACAGAGTGAGTAGCCACAAAGACAGCTATCAGAAGAGAGACCGATCCGCGGAGTAATCAATATGATTATTAGCGGGTCCATCATCGCGAGCTGCACCTCAGCAGCGGGGAAAGCCTCGGTTCGCGAACTAGAACGTGATGAACATAATCCACCGAAGCAACCTAGGCTTGAAGACCCAATATTCTTTACAGAGGATGATGCGCGCGGGGTTCAATATCCCCATGACGACGCCCTGATCATAAAGATGTGGCTGAATGACTTCGAGGTAAAGCGCATCTTGGTCGATTCAGGTAGTTTAGCTGACATCCTGTTCAAGGATGCCTTCGACAAGCTCCAGCTCCAGGAAGGCGATCTCAAGCCGACAGATACACCATTGGTGGGCTTCTGCGGAGTAGAGGTCAGACTCCCTCCCCGTACAACGCCATAATAGGTCGGCCTATTACCCACGCACTTCGCGCAGTGGTTTCCACCTACTACCTGGCTATGAAGTTCCCTACGGACTATGGAGTAGGGGTAGTGCGAGGCGACTAGCTCGAGTCCCGCAAGTGCTATGTCGCCGCTCTCAAGGGGAAGGCCAAGCTAGCAGCAGATATCGAGCTCGAGCAACCTGTGGAGTATCACAAGGAGCGAGCTACGCCAATTGAAGAGACGGTCCATATCGCGGCTTCGAAAGAAGATCCAGCCAGAACTCTCCAAATCGACACATCGATCGAGGAACCACTCCGTTCTCATCTGGTATGTTTTTTACTTAAAAATTTAGACGTATTTGCATGGTCTGCGGCAGAGATGCCCGGAATATATCCTAAAATTATATCTCATAAGTTGAACACTGATCCTTTAGTCGGGGTAGTTAGACAAAAAAAACGCAATCTCGCCCCAGAGCGCTGAAAAATAGTCGATGAGGTCAGGAAGCTCCTTGCAGCCGATTTCATCAGGGAGGTCCATTACCCGAGCTGGGTGGCTAACCCAGTTCTGGTAAAAAAGGCAAATGGTAAATGGCGCATGTGCATCGATTATACCGACCTGAATCGAGCTTGCCCGAAGGATTGTTTCCCACTCCCTAAGATCGATCGTCTAGTGGACGCGACCTCAGGGCACGAGTTGCTGAGTTTTTTGGACGCGTACTCAGGATACAACCAGATTCGGATGGACCCTGTCGACGAAGAAAAAACGGCATTCATAACCGAACAAGGATTGTATTGTTACAAGGTCATGCCCTTTGGGCTAAAAAATGTCGGGGCGACCTTCCAAAGACTTGTAAACAGAATATTTGAGCCGTTGATCGGCAATAAGGTTGAGTGCT